TGGAAGAAATCTCCTTTTGTTTTTTCCCACTTTCCAGGGCTAATCCTGTAAGGAAGGCAGGAAGTAAACATTGTTGTTTCTAGCCTCATCTTTATTGCCCTGCTTACAGAAACTGCCTCTCCGGTTAACCCTTATTATATTGTAACAGCTAAGGCGAAGTGCCCATCGACCTGAGTGACCTTGACTTGGCCAAGCCCACCCAGTCACATGACCACTGAGCCCCACCTACCAAGCTGGTCATTAGGGCAGAGAACCAGTTGTTAAATTATTTGAATCCCACCACTGCCTATACAGAACCACCCTGCTACTTCAGAGCAATCACTTGTAACTTTTAGTCCTGTGGTTTTGATTAGTGGTCACTCCAGATACTATGACATGTTCATAATCAAAGTATGAGCACAATAGAACCCTTCTAGTTATATTTCCTATGGGTTACAGGCGCTTACTGATTGGAGATGGTATATATGACTAGCAGTCATTGAAAATAACAGAGCTGCCAAGGGTTAACTATAAATAATCCAAAAGACAAAAGAGCAAGGAGGATTGAGATTATCTGATTTGAAATTGTATTTGGAATATAGAACATAGACATATAGGGTTGAAAGGGACCTTGGAGGTCTTCTAGTCCCAACCTGATTCCAGATAAATGGCTCTCACTCTCTTCTTGAAAACCTCCGGTAATGGAGCACCTACAAGTTCTGGAAGTAAACTGTTCCACTGATTAATTGTTCTCATTATCAGGAAATTTCACCTTAGTTCTAGGTTGGATCTCTCTTTAACAATCTTTTTAATGATTTTATAGCCTGCTATTTGGTTGTGGATGATAAGAGTACTTGCTCCTGGGAACTAAGAATTTTGGAAGGGCATAACCTCAGAATTGGATGGCAGGTCTTTTTGTGTTACCACAAAGTTAAGTTTAATAAAGCTTTGAAAAAATTACTCTGTAATAAGTGAAGAATAGAAATAAATTCATATTGTACCTGAAAACATCATTATAGGTCTCAGCACAAAAGCATTTTACAGAAAAGAAACAGCAAGCAAAGAATGAGGGTTAGCTGTTAGAAGAAAGCTGTTAGAAGAAAAGCATAGATAATATAAAATGAAATTAAGAGAGCAATTAACAGAGAGGGATTTAGTTTTCATTGGTTTTTATATGCAGAATTAAGAGAAAGATATAATAGAATATTTGTAGTTTAGGGTTAAACTGTAGGGTCCTTGGTGGTCTCTGACCTCAATGGTTTTCTTACATATGTTTCATTACCAAACTAGTAGGGGTGAAATTCGACCAGTTCTATCTGTTTCGGATGAACTTGTAGTGGTTCCACCCACCCACTCGGATGTCATCACATCCCCTTTTTGATACTCTGTGCATATGCAAAAGGCATGCGCAGAGGTGGTACATGTGATTGAAGTGCGCACACGCATGCTCACATTTGCGAACCTGTATCAAAGGTAAGTTGATTTCACCCCTGCAAACTAGATAACATCAGCAATGCATGATGAGGTTACTTACTTTGGTAATGAAATGTTTGCAAGAAAATCAGCAAGTTCAGAGAGCACCAAGGACCCCACAGAAAAATTTAAGGTAGATAACCAGACATTTAGAATTGAATAGCATAAGCTAAAACTGAACTATCTATAAAAAATGAACATGTAAGTGCCAAAATGTATAAACTTTTTCTGAAATTTGAGGCTGAAGAAAAAAATGTATGATAAAATAGGTTAAGAATTTTGGACATAATATACTGATGGAACAATGGTAAAATATGTGGCTGAACAGACTGAAATGCACATTACATTATAATTTAAAACATTTTTTAAAAATAAAATGATGGGTTATTATCATATAACTCTTGAAAAATTATCCTAAATGCATAAAGGTATTTCATATCTATGCTATAAATGTAGACGACAGGAAGGGTCATTTTATCAAGCCTAGTGGATTTGAAAAAGAACTAGAAAATTTTGGGTTCAAATATACAAAGTGATACAAAGAATTTTCAAGATCAGCATTCAAATGATGGAAGCAAGAACTTTTCTTGCTGTGAATAAAGGATAAACAATTAGATAAAAGCCATGGAAGATTATTTTTACATATGGTTACTGCTGTGAAACTATTATATGCACAAATGTGAAAAGATTCTGAAAGAATTACAATGGAGGAATGATTGGTAAAGAAGATAAATTTAGTAGAGATGGCAAAATTGATTAGGAAAAGGAAATATCTTCATTTATTAGTGATTGGAAATCCCCTATAGACTTTTTAAGGAAGAAAAAGGTGAAGAGTAAAATATGGACAGAAGGAAATTAATTATATAATCTAGAGGTAGAGAGTAAAATGTATTTATTACTGATGTTAAGAAGGTTCGAAACTTCTTTATAATCTTTTCTTTCTATTGTCTTTTTCGTCTTTCTTTCTTTCTTTCTTTCTTTCTTTCTTTTTTCTTATCTATTCATTGCTTTTCTTTTTTCTCCATTTTTCCTCTAAAATTTGTATTATTTTTCTCAGTAAAATTTCTACGTATATTTCAATCAAACAAACAAGAATAAAGCGTTCAGAACTTTATTCTTTTTAACTTTACCTAAACTGTATAATAAAAATAATTGCACAATTACAGGAACTGCTACAATATATATATTTATGAAGTCCATGCACGAAGTGTTTCCTTTTATCTGTTTTAAATATGCTATCACTCAGCTTCATTGTACATTCCTAGGATCTGGAATTAACTTCCACTATACTATGTATAATTTGATAACTTTGATCTTGTTCCTTTTACTTACATTTGTCATAACATAACATATACCTTTTCTACTGCCTCTGAATTATTTTAGTTTTTTATTTTCTGCATATTCTCCATTTCTACAATATCTTCCTAAAAGTTTGATGACCCAGAAACATAGTTATGGTATACTTTCATTTAAATTTGCTTTAGATTCTCCAATAATTGCAAAATAAAAAGTAGAAAATAAACATATTTCTATGGCATTTCAGTGCTTAAAAAGCATGTGCCTCATCTAAATATAATACCTATAATACAGGGGTGTCAAACTCAAGGCCTGCATGCACGATCTTAGGGTATTTAGATCTGGCCCATGGGGCCAGCCTGGAGACAGTGAAGAACCAGTCCGGAGTGCCTCTGCCAGAGAAAACGGAGTACGGAGGAGCCATAAGTGACATTCCCAAGTTCCATTTTTGACTGCAATGGCCTTCTGCAACTCTATGCCAGAAAAAAATGGAGCCTAGGAGGGCTGCACATGGTCCTCTTGAGCTCGGTTTCTGACTGCGACAGCCTCCTGCAATCCTCTGCCAGTGGAAACAGAGCTCTTTTTTCATTCATAGCAAAATTTATCCACCAATATGAGTTCTTGAAATCCACATTATCAATGATAAACTATTGTGTGGAATTGAAACTTTCTCAGTCATGCTTATTGCATAAAAACACAGGGTAAACTAATTGGGTTGTGTAGCAGAAATAAAGTGATGGTTGTCCTCTTTTTGTCTAGATAAATCTCTTAAAAGAAGTGAAAAAGGGAGCCTTATAGAATGTTGCAAGCGTGAGACTGATTTGTGTACAGAGATTTATTAGGTGTCTTTCATTTGAAGAAACATATGGACTAGTATGTCAATGGATAATTAAATCTGTGTGTGAGATGTGCATGAAATATCAGTGTTGTCTGCACAAATGCACACCCAGAATTAAGGATACAGCCAATGGTGAGATATTCAGCACTGCAAAAGATGGAAATCAACACTGTGTATCTTTTATATAAATAATCTGATACAAGATATAAATAGGATGAGAAAAAATTGACTTCTTAGCATGAAATTAATATAATTTTAAGCCACATTTGGAAAAGAATAATGGGATGAGAGAGTCATTAGCGTGACAGATAAATTGATTCAGCATGATAATATTGGCTTTAAATTATGTGATCATTCACAAGTCATCCCAGACCAACATAACATTAAAGAAGGACTCAATACATTACTAACCCACTGCATGGCACTGTCATGCTTTTATCGCAGCACAAAATATGAGCAGAAGCTTCCCTACACCTCCCTTGTGACTGCATTGAACTTGAGAGTTGTACTGTAGCTTCACTTGTGAATATAATTTTTATAATGTTCATTCATTATCCACTGACTATTACATTGTCAACTCTTTATGGATTCCTAAATAACTAACTAGCCTAGAAGCCATTTCTGAAAGAGACAATTTAGCAGAAGTGGTGCAGTCACTACTCAGTGTGATACGATAGGCAGGATTTCACTGAGGAACCCAAGGGAAAGTTAGACTAAAGACAAAGAGAGTCAATGTAGTGTCATGGTTATAGTGTTGCATTCAGACAAAGTCCATTCTCAAGCACTGAAGCTCCCGGGGTAACTTGGAGTGACTCTCTCAGTCCAATTTACCTCACAGAATGTTGAGGTAAAATGAGAGGTGTTAATATATAAGCCCCTTGAACTCCCATGGAAAGGTAGAATACAAACAAAAGGGCATAAGTAATCCCTGCTTACTTGTTGCTTGATATGGTCAAAGGGCAGGCACAAGGCTGACAGTCATTGGGATTTCCTTTAACGATCCCATAAAACCCAAGAGCACATTTTTCACAATGGTCACCATCTGTGTTGTGACGACAGTTCTGTGGAGAGAAGCAGAGAAGAGATCATTCTAGTTCTACTGCAAAGTCACAACTATTGGTGATAATGCAGAGATCTAAAAAAAAGTGCACAGGATCAGGTTTCCCCAAAGCCCATAAGATTGAAAATTGATCCTCTTACTCAAAGGTGTAGTGCACCATTAGCTAAGAGATGTCTATTCTATTTTGATATATTTCTGAAAATTTTAGAGTCCTATAAAATCATATTGAAAAGTATGTAGGTGATCCCTATTCATATTATTTTTGTCTGGATAAACCAATATGTTGAAGAACAATATTTTTTTTAATTTAATGGGGATTTATGATCTGACTTTATGAAGTAGAAGTGCAACTTCAGTACTAGTAATATTGAAAAATATGGGGTTAAGTGACCCTCATTGTTGTCAGCGACATATAATTTTTTCATTCCTCTTAGCTTTTGCCCAGTTCTGCAGTTGTATTAAAATAAGATAATATTAAGAATCTGAAGGCACAAGATTGCTTATTTTCTGAACCTGCTTTAAGTTCAGAAATTTTTCCCCCAAGATTTATACTCCAGATAATCCAAATTATTTAAGAAAAGCTTATTTGTTCCACATTACAATACTATAAATTTACAAAAGTGCAGTAGAGATTAGTCAAGCTATTTTGATAAATAATTTTAACTTCCCTACCCACTTATTATTTTTCCATTTTCCCAAAAATTATTTTGTGATCTGTTTTCTTGCCTTCTGCATCAGACTCTTTTGCTTAAGTAAGAATTGTGGAAATAGATAGCTCTAATAGTAATATAAATCACTCCCTAGAAATTATCCAGAGTCATTGGTGTTACTAATACTGGATCACCAAATGCAGATGGAAGAGTCCATGTTCTTCCATTAAAAATAAAACAAAAAAACAAACATCAAGTGGGACAAGTAGTGGGTTCCTACCGGTTCGGACTAGTTTGGCTGAACTGGTAGTGGTATGGCGGCCTGGGCTGCTGGAACTGGCAGCGACCCAGGCCTACCACGCCCCTAAACCAGTTCCTCGGTCTCTTCTGCCAGCACCAGCATGTTTCTGCACATGGGCAGAACAGTTTTATGTCAACTTCGTATGTGCAGCAATGCAAAACAATCTCTCAGAGAACCAGTAATAAACTGATTAGGAACCCACCACTGAATGGGATCTTTTTCTACCCTAGCCTCAGCTGGCTAGTTCTCTGTCATTTGAGCCTTGCTCAGGAAGTTGAATGAGAGGGTGTAAAAGAAGAGAAATGTGGAAGTGGAGGAGGACTAAATAAAATTAAATCACAGAATAATACAATAATTAAATAAAGTTAGAAAATAAAATAAATTACTTTCTGAAACCATTTGGCAGAGAACCCCTTAGTCCTGGCGGGACCACTAATTATGGTTTAAGGTAACCTCATGTGGAGACCCATGCTTGACAGCAGACATTAAATTCTGTCATCATGGAAACACAGCCAATCATGTTTGGGAAGCAAATACATATTTTTGTTTTATTTTTTACTACAAAGAAGCTACTGCTGCTTCTATGGTTAAGTCGGTACTTATTTTCTGAGCATAATGTGAATGACTTCAAAGAAACTTGTTAGTATTTAATAAGTCTTACAATTAAAATGATAAAATCAATAACAAAACTGACATAAAAATTTGTATTGTTCAATAATTCCTATTGACTTCAGCTGCAAAGATATCTTCAGAATCTGGAAAATAGGAATAAAATAAAGCATTTAAAAAAGCATATTTTTATACCTGACAAATTGAGGTTTCGGGGTCACACTTTTCACTATGCCTGTGGCATGAACAAGGGACACAGGCTCCTAGGGCAGGACCTGGCCTTCTGCCAGTATATGGAGAAGCAAGTCTATAAAAACCTGGGGAACAGGTCTGCAAGAAATTAGAAAAACAAACACAGTCCTTAATAAGCTTCATCCCCATTCCTTTTGTCAAACAACTTCTTCCTTCCACCCAATATCTCTTATCTGTACAAAGTACAGGACATCTTAGGTATCAGATTACACAATTTTTCAGAATTTTCCGAACCTCAACAATTTTTTCCTTTCAGAATTTTCCTTCGCTGCAATTCTTCACTGATGTGGAATGAAATGGAAGGCAGAAAGCCACTCAGACATCCAAGCAATGAAACAGAAAGTGATCTGGCATAGATATCAGAATTCTGATATCTAAATCAGAGTTCAGAACAGAAATAATATTAAAAATATGGAATGATGGAGATATACGTATATGGGGGATATAGATTTTATATAAGTATTCCTACAGTATACAGCATTATATTATCATTTACAATATCCCAAACTATAAATAATATATCATAATCTATTGTATGCATAAATAATATACCTACATGGAATTCAAACATAATACTGCAGATCCTATCCTATCCATTCAAATATAATTCATAAGCACTTTAAGATAAACTTTATAGGTACAGGGTATATTACCTCACATGACAAACCAAAATGGCCCACGGGACAATTACATTGTTCAATCAATTGGGCACTTGGAGTTCTTCTTGATACATTTCCTGTATCTGCAACTTCCAGGCTAATCTCAGAAATTCTAACAGAAGAAAACAGAAGGGGGAAAAACAAATTAAACTCTTCAGATTAAATTACACTTTATTTGATAGACAAGAACGTTTACACTCAATGCCTGGGCATTATTTAGAAAAAAAAAGAAAATATCTTAGACTGTCTCTTTAAATTATTTTAAAATTATTTTTGTCATTATTGGCCTGGGCTAGTGGTGTTAATGTAAAAGTATACTTATTCAGTTTAACTTTTATTTTATTTAGAACCCAAATACCAGCATTCTAAAGGCAGAAAAAAAGAAACAAGAAGTTCTACAGACTTCATTGTGACTTATAAATGTTGTCAGCCAGCATCTGTATATTGTCTGTTCATTGTGACTACACTGAAGCAAATGTTGATATAAAGTTATCATGCCAGATATAAATTAGAGATGGGGAACTAAGGCAGAGGGAATCCTTTTTTGTTTGTTTGTAAGAAAAGTTTGTGTGATTTTTACCTAGATAAAAATCTATTCAAAATTTGCACTAATCTGTCACTGGTCTTGTCCTCATTATAGGATGATTACCCTTTGTTAGATGTTGCACTCAAGCAATGTCATGTGGAGATAGGACAATTTTGGAAGGAGGAGAAAAAGGGAAACATTGGGGCAGAAGAGACAAAATGGATATGTATACTAAACAGCAGCTTTGGCAGCAACAATTCAGAAATGTATAAAAACACTTAAAACAAATAGAGGAAAGAGATATCTCAATATGTCTTCACGGATCTTTACCAGAAGTTCTAGTAGTTGTGTTACAAAATACTTGGAAACAAAAGAAACAGTCCATTTGCAGCAAAATAAGCAGAAAAGGCAGATGTAGTTTCTACAAAGGCTGTGGTTTTTTTAAAAAAATTATTTGTAAAGCAAATGGTTCTCATGGCCAGCAAAACTTGGGCTGTTTCTGGAACATCTTTAGTGGATTTTAGTTTGAACTCTGAGACCCGATCAATATCAGGGATCTGGAATTAATTAATAGTAAAATAGAACCCATAGTTCCAGTTCAGCTAGATTAATTATATTAGTCTGCTCTCTTGGAAAAAGAAAAAAAACCCTCTATCCATTTAATGTAAGAAATGTTTCAATGTTCAATCCTAAAATGTTAAAAAGGGAACAACAAAATTAACACAGCAGGAGAAAAATGTTTAGCTTTGGCTTTTTAATGGCAGCTTCTGAATCACTCACTGTAATACTCTTGCTTTCATGCAGAAACATGATTAGTGCTGCTGCTAAATTACATAGCTAATATGGTGCACTGCTGGAATTAAGCTATTTTTACACTTGAAGCTACTGTCAGCATGATGTTTTCTTATAATGTTTTGCTGCAATATATCAATGATCTGCAAGGCTGCATTTACAAACATTTCAGAAATCCCACTTTTATATCTCCTAGGATTAATTTGTGAATAGTCAGTTTTGTCAAAATTATTACCAGCCCATATTTCATCTTTCAAGCCCTGGTCTTGACCATCAGTGTGGATGTGACACAGTTTGTTGAAAATGTTCCGTGACAGGGATAAAATATTTTGTAAACCATTAGGTGCTTTTGTGTTTAGGTCCCATAAACCCTAGCTACTGTCATAGCAGCTTCAGTTGATGAAACTGAAATCAGAATATCTGGGTTCACCAGACAGCCTATTTAGCCACAGAGAAGCACACATATTAAGTATTTGTGGGCTTAGTTTTAAACTATTCAGTCTATACCCATGATGGTGAATCTTTGGCATGCGTGCCACAGGTGGCACACATAGCCTTTTCTAAGGGCACGCAAAGCATTGCCCTATGTCAGCTCCAGCATGCAAGTGCATGCTGGTCAGTTGATTTTTGGGCTTCCAGAGGGTAGGTAAGGGCGTTTTCGCTCTCTACAGGCTTTAGGAAAGCCTGTGAAGCCTGTGGATGATGAAAAATGGGCCCATCAAAACTTTGGAAATCAACTTCTGGTAGGCCCTTGGGCCATTTTTCATCCTCCCTAGGGGCAAAAAAAGGACCTACCAGGCTCACCAGAAGTGTCTGGCTTCGGGAGGGCCTCTTGGGGAGCAGGGGAGACCAAAAACGGATCTACCGGGCCCACTGGAAGTCAGGATACATGCTGTTTCTGGCCTCCAGAGATCCGGGGGGGCAGGGGGGCTGTTTTCACCCTCCCCAGAATCAAAGAAAGCCATGCATGCATGTGGGGGGGGGCAGTAGGAAGAGTTGTGTGCACATGTGCAGGTGGGCATAATGTGAGGGGGGCATTTAATTACAGGTGTGGGCACACATGCACAATGCTTGTGGTTTTGGCACCCAAGGGAAAAAAGTTTGTGATCACTAGTCTATACAATGTATTGGAAATCATGCTGTTAGGAATCAATGGCAATAATGCTGATGAAACAGTCAGATATTTGATCCATAATATCTTTCCTATTTATATAATTAATAGAAGCTTTTTAGGTCTCTTGATGGTGATCCATGTCAACAGGAAATATTAAACACAAAGCATTTCATCTTTCAAAGACAAGACAGATGTATCATTGAACCATACTTTTAAACCATTGAATTACATTCAAAGGATAACACTTTTGAACATGGGAAGATCTGGAATCACCTCAAGGAGAAAAGGCAATAGAAAGCATAGAGTTGTGAATAAATGTGTCCTAATTACTGATTTCAAATCCTCTTATTTTACAGCAGTGTGTCTTTTTTCATATGTTTCTGGATAGCTGTTACAAATGTCACACTTTAGAAAACATAAATAAAAATCAATGAAGAAAAATGATTAATATATCTCAGATTGCAGTACTCCACTATTTACTTTTTAAATAATAACTACTCAATTACATTGTCATTAAAAGAAGTGCTTACTCTCACAATATATAATTGATCTATGCAAAATGTTACTATTAAGATGCACTGATGACTATTGACTTGGACACTTTAATAAGAATTAGACAAATTTGTAGAAGATAGTAGTACTGAGATTATCAATTACAATGACCCAGTGTCACAGAAAATTCCAATTCCTGGGAGATAATAGCAGAAGAATGCTATTATACTCATGAGATACTATTTGGCTTCTCATTGACATTTAGTTGGTTAGGTTCCTATAAAAATGCTATAAGAATGCTATAAGAATGCTAGATTAGATGAGTTTTTCATCATACTTGTATATGGCTCTTCCTAAATCAGCCCAGAAAGTATAGTTAAAACATACATAATGCCAATAAGGTACACTTTTTTCAATAAAGGATGATATTTGTAGTTCATGGTTGAAGTAAATGGCCCTTGGTGCTCTCTGAGCTTGCTTGATTTCTTGCAGATGTTTCATTCCTCAAACTAGGAAACATAATCAATGCTAGTAAGGAGTGTGGTTTGCGGTCAGTTTATATTCTAGTGCAGGGGTCAGCAACCTGTGGCTCTGGAGCTGCATATGGCTCTTCCATCCCTCTGCTGTAGCTCCCTGTCACCAGTCGGCGCCACAATTTTGAGAGAAGCTTCTGGTTGGGAGGGGGGAAGCATAGCTTGCCAGGAGGAGCTCCACAATTGAAAGGGCTTTCGGTTAGGACAGGTAGAGGAAAAAGGATGCCACGTTAGGAGGAGACTTTATGGTGTGGTAACCGGACTTCCAGTTGGCTCCAGAATTGAATTGGGGGGGGGGGTTCCAGTTAGTACTTTTGTGGCTCTTTGAGTGTTTAAGGTTGCCAATCCCTGTTCTAATGGCTTGCCCTGTCAGTGTTGGTGGGGGTAGTCTTAGAGAGACTATCTGGTTGGGCTGTTAGCTGTTGGCTTCTTTGGCAGTTTCTTGATTGGGGTATTGTTTACTTGATCGTTGGCCTGATGTTAATCCTGGAGCTAATCTGTGCTGATCAGGGTGCTGATTGCTGGTGGAGAGGTGCTTGGGTCTTTTTCATTCTAGAACATGTAAATAAACTAGGCATCTTCACTTAGAAATAATTATGATGCTATTCAGAGATTTTACTAAAAAGTACACATCAGACTTTGGGCAGGCAATACTATGAGAGAGGTGAGTACTGAGTCAAACCAATTAGTTCTTGGACAGTTGGACACTACCAGAACAGGTTAAAGGGAATAGAAGCAAGTGCAGGCAAAAAAAAAGCAAGAAGGAGATGCAAAATCCATGGCTAATTACAGGTCCACAGGTTAAGATAGTAGAAGAAAGAATCTTCAAAGTTGGGACATCATTTTTAATGGAAGAACATGGACTCTTCCATTAATCATCATTAATCAAAGCTCAATTTAGAATAATTTCTAGGTTTTGAGCCCTCTGGGAATTTTCATCTTCTGACAAAATTACTATTTTCCTTTTATTGTGGCTAAAGAAAGCTGGAATCTTACATAGATTGTCAACTTTAAGCCCATGGATCTCCACCTAAATAACACAGTGTGGAGAAGTATCTTATGACTTTCCTGTGAAAATGAATCAATCCCTGATGATTGATACTAGTATTTAGTATTACTGATTGCATCATATAAAAGGCTTACCTGCTTTGTCTCATGAATCTGCCATGAGTTGCTTTGATAAGTATGTAATGAATGTTGTACAGGACATCCATGAAATCCTCACGGGTCACAGTCTGAGTGATCCTTGGATCATCACCATAGTATTTCCACTCATGCTGAAAAGAAAGTCATGATAGGAATGCTAATGATTTAACTGTTTCCAAAGGGCCAATGACAAAACAGATTGGAATGAAAAATTACCTCTGTCATTTCTATCTCATGCCTTGTCAACTGGCCATTCAAAGGAGCGACCACATGCCTGACAATAATTCGTGTATGTGTGGGAAGCCCGCCTCTGATTATGACCTGGGGATTGTAAGTTGCAAAACCTGTGTCTTCCCTTGCTTCAAAAAAGATAGCGTATTTCAGCTTTCCTCCGTAAGCCATCAACTAACAAAGAAGAAGACACCACATAAATAATAATATAGACAGGCTGTCAAAATGAAATACAAAGAAATAAGAAAAATAATACTATGGTGAGTATCTGAAGATGCTCTGAAGAATTCCTGAAGAAGCATAAAATAAATTATTAAAATTATGATTTTCATTGCATCAAATACAAATTACAAGAACTATATAATGAAATAAAATGAAATTGTGGATTTTATTTCCCATGCCTATTTAAAAATCAAGCAGTCATGTTTTTTTTTCTGTGCATACCTCAATACCGTATATTTTTTCAATTTGAAATATTAGGATAACCTAGAGTAGAGAATGGATAATATGGGAACTTTTATGCTATATGTTTTAAATTTATACTTATTATGAATTTTATGAGTCAAATGTAAAGGAAAAAGAAGAAAAAAATGTGGGGGGGAAAGCAAAATAAAAACCAAGGTTATGAAATATATTGACTTCCAACTTTCCAATTTTTATATTTTCAATCATTAAATTCATAAATCATATTTTTACTTTTTTCTTCTTTTAGCAAAAAATCCATAAAAGTTTTCTATATTTTTTTAAAAAAATGCTTGTTTCCCCCTTGATCAAATAGGTCAGTTTCACTGTTTCTACCAATTCCTACATAGTTACAATCCATTCATCTATTATGGGAATCTCAGTACTCTTCCATCAATGTGCCTATCTTGCTGGAACTTTTATGCTTCCTAAGGGTAGTATTTAGTATCTCTGTATAGCTGATAAGGCTCAGATCAATTAAAAGGCAATTGAGTTTGGGACTGGATAATCACAACACAAATAAGGTCAAGTGACACAAGCACTTGGATTATCATACTATTATACCTCTTTTCCCACTATCAAAATACTACTTCCTCAGCTTCAGGGGGATTCTATTCATCATGATAATTAAAGGGAATTATTCAAGTACTAAATGAAGCTTTGAAACAAATACAGTTCCCCTCATGATTTTAACTTTTTGAGCGTATCATACATCTATATTCTAAAATTTTAAAAATGTTCTATATAGCTTTCTTTTAGATATTAGGTATCTTAGCTATAACTCTGATATTATTCTTAGTAAAAGTTCGGGTTCCCCTCACACGTAAGTGCTAGTTGTTCCTGACTATAGGGGGTGGTGCTCATCTCTGTTTCAAAGCCAAAGAGCCAGTGCTGTCCGAAGATGTCTCCGTGATTATGTGGCCAGCATGACTAAACGCCGAAAATGCACAGAACGCTGTTACCTTCTCACCAAAGGTGGTTCCTATTTTTCTACTTGCATTTTTACATGCTTTTGAACTGCTAGGTTGGCAGAAGGTGGGACAAGTAACGGGAGCTCACTCCATTATGCAGCACTAGGGATTCGAACCGCTGAACTCCCGACCTTTCTGATCAACAAGCTCAGTGCCTTAGCCCCTTAGCCACTGCATCCCTTATATTATCCTTAGCAAAATAATATTACAGAATCATGGGCTAAAAAATTTAGACCTGCCTAAATGTCATGCTTTCCAATGAATGTCTCAGTTTTGTTTTCAAGTAGGGAGACTGCCTGAAGAATTATTATAATTAGAAAAACAAAATTATACATGGCTTTAAGCTGTGGATTGTAGATATGTCAATATTTGAATTAAGTTTTAGCATTTCTTCCTGACAAAGAGACAAGGAAAAGCTTTTTAAACAATAGGATTATTTAGAGGGAGAGATAATCAATTTGTAACATGATACTACAAAACTCCTTTTCATTTCCTTTTTTCTCTTTTTCCTTATTACCATGATGATTAATTATGAGGTTACGCTATATTTTTAATTCTTTTAATTCTGTTAATTAGCTTGATAAAAATAAAATGAATAATATTTCATTATATGGTTTCTCTTTTAATGGAAAATAATGAGAAAGAATTAATAGTTATGATTGTGACAATAAAATGGTAACTTTTCATTAGTACTTTCAAGTTCTTTCTAATCTTTGTTTGGGGGGGGGGAGAAATGACAAAATATAAACTGTAATTAGAATTCCCATCTTTTACCTTTTTTCCTTCAAATTGTTCTGGAAGTCTCCAATAAAATGGTTCTGAATGTAGATCCTGCATTACCAAGTCAATATTTGCAATTGTCTCTGGATATTGGTATATAATCCCTTTGGTAGTTTGGTGCTGGACATTTTCATCAACCAAAGGAAGGACCACCTGATCTGGCTTCAGAGTCAACTAAATGAGAATAAAGGGTTGGATCAATATCTATTTCTATCTTAAACTCTGTTCTGTAGAAAGTTATTGTTAAAATATTTATCAAACAATGACATATACATAAAATATATACTGTAATGACTAATATATAATGAAATAGATATAATAATAAAATACATGAAACATTAAAGATTAAAACCAGCACCTTGAATTAGACTCAGAAGCAAGCTGGCAGCCAAAGCAGCTCACGGAGCAGAAGTTTAATGTATGCTGGCCTAGGAGCATCCATACAACCTACCCCATCCACACAACCTACCCCATGGCATCCTTCATATAGAGTCATATCCTTCACTATATAGAGTCCAATCTGGAGAAGTCTAGGGCATAGGAACAGAGCCTCCAGGTTTCAGGAATGGATGTAATTGGCACAGAAGTTACACCCATTCCTAGCAGAAAGCTATGAAAAGGCCCTCCTAGTCACAACTGCCACTAGCTCCTTCAGCAAGAGTTGTGAGTTTAGAGGATGGCTAGATTGCATCTGTTTGATGGGCACTGTGACCCCATCCATCACTAAAGATTTGCAGTTACAAAAGTAATCATAGAAATCAGAAATAACTTAACTGAATATTAAGTGTAATTAATATTTGGCCCATCACCCATCCAAAATACATAAACAGATAGCAGTTGTATATAGTAGCCATGAATCTGTACAAGAGACAGAATATATCAATTTGCTTACAGATGCAATTAAAGATGCTGATAGTTAGTTTTAAATGGATTACAACGGTTTATGGGAATGTCTCTTCCTGGTTGGTTTTATGTGTCCTGTCTGATCCATCAAGACAGGCATATGGCCTGTACCATCAGCCAAGGAGGGTTGGCTGGTGGAGTGTCATGGTATCCACCTCCTGGAATAGCATCCCTCCCATTAGTTTGACCCCATCTTGTTAGCCTTTTTAAAGACTTTGAGGACCTAGTTTAGGTTTTTTATGTGTGAAAAAAAGTGGATCTGTTTTTGTGTTTTTTATGCATTAATTATTCTCTTACACTATACAAAATAAATATTTTGTATTCCAAGTATTCCACACTTGGAATACTGGATGCAGTTCTGGTCACCACAATATAAAAAAGATGTTGAGACTCTGGAAAGAGTGCAGAGAAGAGCAACAAGAATAATTAGGGGTTGGATGCTATAACGTATGAAGAACGGTTACAACAATTGAGTATGTCTAGTCTAATGAAAAGAAGGACTAGAGGGAACATGACAGCAGTGTTCTAATATTTGAGGGGCTCCTACAAAGACAAGGGGGCCAAACTATTTACTGAACCACTAAAGATGAGAACCAAGGAGCAACCTAAAACTAAGGAGATATTTCCTAATGGTGAGAACAATAAACAGATGGAACAACTTGCCTTCAGATTTTGTGGTGTTCCATCACTAGATGATTTCAAAAAGAGACTGGACAATCATTTATCTAGAATGGTAAAGGTGTCATGCCTGCAGTCATATTCCTTTTAGGATGTTTGGCCTGCCACACTCTCTATTATTTTACTATGCTGTTTCATTAGTGGGGTAATTGGGAGGGGGAATAGTAAGAAGTGTGTTGTTGTTAAAATAAAACATTCCTTTCTAGAAGGTCATTCTTTGTCATTGCACCTCTGCACCTGGAACTAGATGGGTGGAAATGCCAGTGTGGCAGTGGAAGATTGGACTATGTGATGGACTTGTGGGTGTGGGGACAAGATCATGAACTGTCAACTGGGTGGAAAACCCAGGAAGCTTTCAGATTTGGGTTTTCCACAGATGTGTCAACATGTTTCTCTTAATAAATTGGAACTTTGAGGATTACTTTGCCTTGAACTCCAATTTAATTTTGGATGATGTTTGGAACGCTAACAAAAGGGTCTCCTGCTCAAGCAGGGGGTTGGATTAGAAGTCTTCCAAGGTCCCTTCTAATTCTATTATTCTATGTTCTAAATAAACCTGGTTTGGTGGTTATTTTGAGGGCTTTTTATGATTCTCTATCTGTTATGTGCTTTATTTCTTGTTTTATTTTAATATTTGTTTATATTTTATTTGTTTTTAGCATGAGTCAACCCAAGTCATGTACTTGAGATGGGTGGCTCTACAAACTGAAGAAATAAATAATTACAAATATCTACCATATGTCATTCATACCAATTAAATTAAGCAAAGAAAACCATTCATGAAAGCATCTGTTCCTTTATGGAACTTCACAGAATAAGGGCTGAGAAGAATTCCTGGACTGACATTATTCTTTCTCTGAAATATTTCCAGCAGATTCAGTAACACGCTTCTTTGAAATGCTAATGCCAAAATGAAGCGGAGTGCCTGCCTCGCCTCTGGAGGTGTTCCCGGATCCCATGCATTAAACATGCTAATCAGCAAGAAACTGGTTTATTTGAAATATATGGCTCCATTCATGGCACTTCTACATCAGAATATTTGCCAGTTGCACTTCACTGTTCTAAAATAGATCGGAATAGTTAGAAGTTGTAAGTGCTCAGAGACACTGCCGAGTGAAACTGCAAGCCTCATTTAAATATGAGAACTGAAAAGAAGGATAATTGATCATTAGGGAAATTTTAAATTGACATTTTAAATCATGCACATTTCTACTTTCCTAAGATATAGGAGAGATGAAGCTTTGATTATGCAAGTCTGTGCTCTTTAACATAAGGGAGTTAGTCCCATTCAATACAGTGGACTTACTTCCATGTAAAGAAACACAAGATTGCTCTTTTTATATATCTAAAGTTTATTGAATAAGTTATACAATATTACCCTATCAGCCACAAGAAATCAGTTAAATTCCTATGTTGTGGAATCTTCTCTCCCTCCCTGAGGTGAGGATATGAACTAGTGATGTTACTTTTATTACTATTATTACCCACATCTTTTTGGCTATTCTTGTTTTGCATGCTTTATAGTATTTTTTAATGTTTTTAATATTTGTTCATGGTAATTATTTAGATATTTATTTTTAGTTTTGAGATACGTTGTCTATGGTCACTTGTTATGAGGTGGGTGGCTAGATAAATTAGATTTGGGAATGGGTGTACATTACTAACATATTACCGTATCAAATACTATACTATGTTTTACTGTGGTCCAGTCTTGACCCATTTGATAAGGATTGTCAGTAGATCATTTGAAGTAGATAGGAAAATCTTTCAGTAGTAATAAATCAGATGACCACTTGATGGAAAAATTAAAAACCATATGTAGTTCCCCCAAGGCTTTTATATTCTTTTGCAAAAAAGGAATCATATGAACCCTCAAATTTGCCTCATTTGCTAACAAGGATCCCGAAGCTATGTGGCAGGAAGTGGTTGGCATTTAGTGTTTCTCACCAACAGCTGTCTCCTCAGCAACATTTGGAAATTGGAGGTTCTCTTATCTATGATAATATCTGTCCAAGAGTGATAAGAGTTAAAAGACCATTCACATGGTATGTTTTTTTTTCATTTTCCTTTTGATTCATGTCACTGCCCTGATTACCAGAGTTTATTGGGGATACATCACTGGGAACCCCCCATCCCCCAGCAATTCTTGACTGTTTTAAAGATTTAATGTACAGAGCAAAATCTTAAGTTAGTGGACATAACCCCTTTTTATTTGTAATCATCTGTAGGTTGAACCATAGTTTTAAAATCTGAACTTTTCCTTTATCAGTTCAGTTTCCAAACACCTTTCAGTAAGTGCCTGCAGGAGCTCCCCAAAAAGGAGACCATTACTTTAAAAATATAGTCTGAAATTTCAAATTCCCCTTTTTATAATATTCCTGAAATATGGTCTAGTTTAGAAAGCAAATTTCACAATCTTCCAGTTACTTTATGTTCAGTTGTAAGCTTCTAAATGTTAAAAAGAACACATATTTTTATATAACCTTTAATACACCAACACAATATAGTAGCTAACTTTTATTTGCAGGGTTTTCAGATAATTTATAAGATTTCTATTTCTTTTACTCATTTGCTGTCATCCTTTTAAGCAACCCAAGTTAGTTTCAAAATAATTAGCTCCAAAAGACAGTTAATATAATAAAAAATTAAACTTAAAAATTCATGTAAACTCTGGCTGTCTCATGTTTCACATCCCCTGGAAATCAACCTCTCAGCCATGCCTTGCTCCAAACTGAAATCTCCATTTAATAAGATAGAATGACATTTGAAATGTCTATGGATGCTTCATCAGTAATAGCTTGCTCATATATAAATCATCACTTAGGCCATAGTTTTTACATATAACTATATGTGAAACTTCTCCAAATCTTGAGTAGCTTATTTAGGAACTTCAATGTTGACCTTATCTGTCTTCTCTTGACTTATTAAGACTACCTGAAAATCTCATTAAGTTCCAAGGGCTAATTCCAAGAAAAAGAGCCAAATTTAAAATTTGGATTTGGAGTCTAACTCCTCATGCTGTTTGGAGTAGATGTCAGATTAATAATAGAATCCATGGTATTCCCTATGACATTCTATGGTAATGAAAGTTGAAAAATCACAATAGGAAATTATATGTGACATTTCTGAAATTTGGTGTTGGAGAACACTTAAAAAAAAACATGGACACCCAGTAAAACAATGGATCATTGAACAAATCAACTCAGAATCACGGCACAAAAGACCAGGCTCATGTTATCCTATTTCAGACATATGATGTGAAGACTAGCTTTCTGAAGAGGTCTTTATTAATGGGAAAGGTAGAAGGAAAAAGAATAAGAGGATGACCAATGGCAAAATGGATTGAGTCAATTACAGTGACAATGAACAAATTATTTGAAGATCTGAAAGATCAGGTCAGGGAGATAATCATGGATGGAAAATCTATCTATGTGGTTATTAGAAGTTAAAAACAGTTTGATGGCACATAATCAGTCAATAACTTATAATTTATCTCCTTCTAGTATATTTTTTCAACATTAAAATTGATGCTATTGTTGGAATTTTTTTATCTGACTAATTTTGATACTATCTTTGTCTCTTTCTATTTAATT